GTCTGTCTCTCTGATGACGGTCTGTCTGTCCACAGACAGTGCCCAGTGAACGGCTGTTGCAGGGTTTCTTCTGCCCCCGGCCCCTGGCTTCGACAGTACTTGGCCTGACAGTGACCACTGGTCTGTCCTCGCTGTGGTCCCTTAACCGTGTTGTTTACACATCTTCAGTACATGTAGATGCAGTGCATATCGAAGAGTCTTGGCTCTCCTGTCCTAGGAAAGCATGTCAGAGTGGCAGTGACGGTGAACACATGCTGAGCAAATTCTTTAAAACAGTTGAAAACTTTCTATGAGAAGACTTACATGAGAACCCACGAAAGACATAAAAATAAAAATGAAACTCTGTGGACTAGTTAAATGTAAAAATGTGTAAAGCTTTCCTGCAGTTTTCCAGTGGCATTACCATCAACTTTACTGTGGACAGAGGATGTGAGTTAGTATCCGTGTCTGGAAGCCCCCACTGGTAATTGAAATTTCGAGTCCCATTGTCTGTAGCAGGTGCGTTTTTACTATGACTGTCTGCTCATTCATAGTTCTATGTGTTTTAAGACAGGGTTTCTCTGTGTAACAGTCCTGGCTGTCCTGGAACTCACTCTGTAGACCAGGCTGGCCTCAAACTCACAGAGATCTGCCTGCCTCTGTCGCCGAGTGCTGGGATTAAAGTTCTGTGTATTTTAATGAAGATGTCTGTTCCTGTACTGAGTGGCGCCATCACTACGAGAACAAGGTTCTCACTTCCAGAAAACTCCTTGGCACACTTCTGTTGCACAATCACAGCCTTGGGGGTGTTGGGGCTCGTGCCCTGGGCCTCTGGCTAGCTGATGCTCACCCACTGAGCCCACCCCATGCCCTGACACTACAGTTACACCTGCAGCTTCGAACTGTGGTAGAGAATGATGTAGAATCTCCTGTTGAATAGTTTGTTTTTTTCCCTTTAGGTTTTCTTCTGTGAAAAATGAACTTTTGCCCAGTCACCCTCTTGAATTATCAGAAAAAAATGTGAGTATGTTACCTGTGTCTTTCTTTCTTATCCTCTGCTAGAAAATAGAAGTAGGTATGGGCACTTGTTTAGAGTCCACGCTAGAAGACCTTTGGGTACCATTTCTGGATGAGGGAGGGGAGACAGGCAGATCCTACTGAATCCATAGGCCCCGGGTTCAGTGAGAGACCATGTCTCAAAAAATAAGATGGGGAACTGTTGACGAAGAGACCTGGTGTTGACCCTGGCCTCATTGTGCGGGCTCACATCTACACATGCGCACACCACACAAGCACACACCACTCACACAGATGGGCAGACGTGAATGTTACGGGGTTTATCCGGGAGAAATTAGCAGGTGCACTTTGTGTCGTCATTGTCGGTTCCAGTGTGGTGCTTGCAGACCGGCATTGGGGCATTTGTGACAAGCACCTGGGTTACACTTGCTCTGTCCCTCTAGTTCCAGCTTAACCAAGACAAGATGAACTTTTCCACCCTGAGGAACATCCAGGGTCTGTTTGCCCCCCTGAAGTTACAGATGGAGTTCAAGGCAGTACAGCAGGTGAGTGTCCTCTGTCCCACGTGGGCTGGCGCTTTCGTGACGCCTGTCTAGACGCTGCTTCCCTTGTTCCCTCACAGCCTGGTCTGCTTCCCTCTGTCACGCGTGACCCTGCTTCCTACTTCCTGGAGGAAACTTGTTAGATGGCGAATGTCTTCATGTTACAGACACAGTGTCTGAAGATGCAACTGTCTGCCTCTGTGTTTCTCTGCCCTCTGGGTTACCTATTGCTTAAGGAGTAGCTGTGTGCAATGTCCTTCTGCCTGTGAGAACTGTCCCCTGCTGCCTGCGTTCTGGCTTCCACTGCGTCACACTACTTCCGGGATCAACTACCCGTCATCAGTAGACACCTTTGGCTTCTCTTGCTTCTTGGCTCATCAGTGGTTACACATATTCAAATCTTGTCCTAAAAATTGTATCAATCCCTAATTAATTAGTTAGTTTTGAGATAGGGTCTCACCATGTAACTCTAACTGGCCTGGAACTTGCTTTGTAGACCTTGCTGGCCTTGAACTCCCCGAGATCTGCCTGCCTGTGCCTGCTGTGTGCTGCGGTTACAGGTGTCCTCACGCCTCGTGCTGATGTCTTGTCTCTCGTCGGCTTCTGCAGGTTCAGCTGCTGGCAGCCCTTGTTTTCCTGTCTGTTCACTTGCTTCCTCTTCCTCTGTGCCCGTGTCTTCCGGCTCCCGAACAGTGCAGACGTCTTCTCACCCCATTTTTACCTGAACACTGTGGCGTTTGGCCCCTAAGCTCCTTCCACCCCCCGTGATTTTTGAAGACTCGAACCCATGTCCCGGTTCTCTCCGGAACCCCCCTCCAGCCGTGCGTGGTTCCTTCGGGCGGTTCCCTGAAGTGCCCTCCCTGCTCTTCCCTCGCCGTTCCCTGCCGGGTGCTCTGTTACTCATGTGCACATGTACTACAGTCGTTCTAGCCTGTGGACCTGCAGCTTCTCTGGTTGGAAGGCCACAGGCCCCTGGATTTCACTTGGGCTGGGCCGAGTAGCTCGTCACTCCCTACGTCCTGATGGAGCAGGCTTGTGCCTGAGGCAGGCATTAGCCCTGGTGGCCTTGCTCACAGCCATGTCACCCCCACGCCCCGATGTCTGGTCCTTACTAGATCTGCCTGACTGTTGTACTGCAGTGATTCTCACCCTGCTCCTCTCAGCCCCCTGCTCTCCCCGCAGAGAGCCTGGAAAACAGACCTCACTGTGTGCGCGCCTCACTGTGTCCTCCGGATGAAACCCAGCTTGCCTGATGGATTAGCTTCCTGCTTCCTACTTTGGGCTTTCATGCATTTGTTTCCTGCTACCATGGCTTCCTTTCTGTGGCCTGCTAATCCTGAGCCTTGTGGTCTGTGCTATGAGTGCCGTTGATTTTATAGGCTTGTGGTTTAAGTACTTCTTTGCAAGAAGACGACTCTGAACTGGCTTTAAGTGAGAATGGCCGAGTCTGAGTGTGGATGTACCATCTAATCCAGACACTCAAGAGTAACGTTCTGAAGCACATTTGTTGTTTAAGGTTTATTTAGTCTTTTTTTTTCCTGGAACTCGCTTTGGAGACCAGGCTGGCCTCGAACTCACAGAGATCCTCCCGCCTCTGCCTCCCGCGTGCTGGGATTAAAGGCGTGCGCCACCACCGCCCAGTGGTTTATTTAGTCTTATTTTACGTGTGTGAGTGTTTGCATGTATGTCTATGAACCGTGTGTGTTTGGTGATCACAGAGGCCAGATCCCCTGGGAGCTGAGTTAGAAGCTGTTCTGAGCCTCCACATAGGTGCTGGGAGCCCGGTTTCCCCGGAAGAGCAGCCAGTGCCCTCAGCTCCATGCTGCTTTGAAATGGAAAGGCAGTCAGAACAGCACGGCTGTTCTCAAGAGTCCGTGGAACTGTTGGCACAGAACTGTTAGCGCCCTTCCCCAGTTCTGTCTGCCGTGGGAAGGGACACGTAGTAAAATGGGTGGCCAGAGCTTTTAGTACCGTTTTGTCGAAAGGCTTTGCTCAGTGCATGAGCCCTGTTCCTGGTCCTTTCCTTGTATTTTGCAGGCCCCGCTTTCCACACTTGTCCCGCCCTCACTGCCTCTCAGACCCTTCGCTCTCTTCTCCATTTAAAGCGTCTTCCTCTTTCTTCTCTCTTCTGCGTGCTTCCTCTCTCTTGGTTTTGAATGACATCTTTCACATTGTAAAGACCAAATAACACTGTAGGCCGTTGGCATTTGAGAAGAGCGTCTTCACTCTGAGTGGAGGGGGTGGGTCTCCCTAAAGCGCCTCTGCAGAGGGTGATGGGTTTCAGTCCTGGCGTCATTCATTGCTGACTACCTCGGCCTGGGTAGAGTGTGCCGTGATCTGCAGCTGGAGACTGCGTCTGGCCCACCTGAGTGTGCTGAGCACGGCCTGTGATGGCAGTGTGCAGGCTGCGCAGCACACCCCGTCTGGGTCCCGGCTCTCAGGTCACTGGTCCAGAGCTATGCGATTGGGCCAGTGATGGTCAGAATGGGAATCCGGAGGCTTCTCCCGCACGGCCCGTGCTTTCGCCACCGCCTCACGCGATTACCAGTCTACACCTGCCGTTAGCGCGTGGCAGGAGGTCACATTGGCATAAAAGCCTCCTAGGTGAGCTTGGTCTGCATTTCCGGTCCCCACTGCGGTTGAAGAGGTTATGTTTACCTTTGCTCTGAGCGGCGCAGAACAGCATGGAAAGGCTCCCTCACCTCCGATCCTCGGGAACGGGGTCTCTCTGCTGAGTGAGGTGTGGTGTTGGGCTCTGGGAGTTGGCTTTGCTTTTCAGCACATGTAATGAATCTTCTCTGTCCCGCCGGCTCCCAAATAATGGCACGGAGACTTCCTGTTAATTATGAAAGCTTGGCCTTAGCGTAGTTTCTTGTTTCTAACTAGCTCTCATAACTTAAATTAGCCCATTTCTGTTCATCTACGCACTGCCACGTGACTCACGGCTGTTACCTCTCCTCCTGCGTGCCCTGTTCCCTCTGCGTCTGGCGGCAACTTGCCCTTCTTCTTCCCAGAGCTCGCTCTGTCCGGAAGTCCCACCTGCACCTCCTGCCTCGCTGCTGGCCATTCAGCTCTTTATTACACAGCAGTCCATCTTCACACAGTGTACAGATACCCCACAACAATCACGTGGTGTGTGCTAAAGTTTTCCCGAACAGAAGCAACACCCCAAAACACAGGTAGACATGGTGGGTTAGTTAGTGGAATAAACACAGGCAGACATGGTGGGTTAGTTAGTGGAATAAACACAGGTAGACATGGTGGGTTAGTTAGTGGGATAAACACAGGTAGACATGGTGGGTTAGTTAGTGG